AATGTCATTCTTTCTGATGGAGGCATAGAATTCCATTGTGTATATATACCACATTTTCTTGATCCATTCATCTACTGAGGGGCATCTGGGTTGGTTCTATATCTTAGCTATCTTACCTTATTTTTAATAACTAGTATAAGTCTAGGACAAGCAGAAAAGGTCAAAAGCTATGTACATATGACCATATAAGACGATGTTAATGAAATGAACCCCAAGATAGGGACACAAATATTTTTTTTCTTTCTTGCTACTGTTTTTAAGGTATTTAAAATGTACTATGTGATTTTTTTTTTTTGTTTGTCTTGTATGTTCTTCCCCACAGCATAACCCCTGTTTTCACTGTATTTGATGTCAGTGCACTGTGTCTTGTATATACATTTTTCTAATTTGGGGAGGGGAAGGGAAATAACAAGATACTGAAATAAGGATACAGGTTGACCTATTGTAACAATAAGATGTAGATATACAAGACACTGTTGAAAACAAACTTTACAACTTGGGGGCGGGGAGAGTTGAGAGAGGAGTTGGGGAGGTGGGGAGGGAAGGGATGGTAGGGGAAAAACAAAGGAGGAGGTAACAATCCTTGATAGGAAATGGACTCATTACCTTACTCATGTAACTGTAACCCCTCTATACAGTATTTTTTACATTAAAAAACATCTAAAAGAAAAAAAAAGCAGGAGGATGAAGATGATGGCTCATTTGCCTATAAAAGTTGCCAAAGTAAAAGTTAGAGAATCCCAGTAATCTTGTTCTGGCAGTCCAACATTGACACATCTTAATGGACTGCTTGTGGGGCTTATGCTTGCTTTAGACTTGTTTATTCTCATAACACATTTGTCAGTACTGTGGCTTGAACTCAGGGTCTCCTGCTCTTGGCTTAGCCTTTTCTCTCATGACTGGCATTCTACCACTTGAACTATACCTCCACTTATAGTTTTTGTTTGCTGGTTAATTGGAGTTGAGTCTCTTGGATTTGCCTGGCTTGGCTTTGAACCAGGCTCCTCAGATCTCAGACTGCTGAGTAGCTAGGATTACAGGCCTGAGGCAATGGTGCCCTGCTAGTCTCATTTTCTTGTCTGCATATGCATGATCAAAGCAAGATTACTGACAGCAAGGGAAGGAAGGGCTTGCCTACTTTGCTGGGGACAATGTGATTACAGCATTATTATTAGCTTACTGTGCTGGGGTTTGAACCCAAAGCTTTATGCATTCTCCGAAAGTGTTTCTACCACTGAACTATCCCATCTGGCCCTAAAATATTATTTTTTGAAGGAACAAATGCCTGTATTATATCTGGGTCTCTGTTAGGCACAGGTCTCATGCTATAGAAACCCTCTAAAAGTAGAAACGAACATTTCTGCATTATGAATCCAGGACTAGTGATTACATAGTGGTTAAGTAATGTGCCACAGTTACAGGGCCACCAAGTATTGGGGACTTGGTGTCAACATTAGCAGAATGCTGTCCAACAAGAAAGGGGGGGGGAAGGGAGAAAGAGAGGGAGAGGAAAGGAGGTAGGCATGGAGGGAGGGAGAGGGAGAGGGACAATGGATAAAACATTCAGCTTGAATGCAGAATGTAGAAGAGGGAATTTGGATACAGTATAAACAAAAATGCAGTATTTCTAGTGATAAACACATCGTGAGAGCTTGTTTTAACTCTAAAGTGTTCATTGCTGAGCTACCCATAAACTGTTTATTCCGCTACTAACAGACGGATTAAATATACATGTGAGCTTTTAAGCATATATGTGAGCTTTTAAGCATTTTGATATAAAACCAGCCAAACTGCAAGATTATAAGAATCTGATGCCTCTTTATTTTCTCAGTTTGGATAAGAAACTATGTTATGAAAGATCTCTTATGTTTTGGGGATAAATGACCTTTCAATGAGCACAACAAATAGCCCAGCAACCGTTTTTAGAAAAAGAATTTCAGAAAAACAAAAATAAATAGAAAGCAACCTTAAAGTAAAACAGCTTCAAACCTTACTAAGAATAAACAATTTGTCCCACATATTTTGTTGCACGGGATACTCATGGCTTCTTTGATAATCTATCTCCCTTTCTACACAATTGCTGCCCACTTTTGCTACTTCTGTCACGCCATTTTTATTATCTGTGATGAGCTAGGAACTTCATGAAGATAGAAACAAGCTTCTACATACTACAGGATACTGTTTATCGTGTGGTAAGTAAGCATTTTCAAACACTGATCAAATGACTTTCCTTTACTGCTATAGGTCAATGCTACCTAAGTCAACAAAATTTCCTAGATAGTAGAATATTATTCAGTCTTGAGAAAGGAGTAGAGTTCTGATATATACCACAGTGGCGATGGCCTTTTTAGACATTTTGTGCTGAGTGAAAGACGGACAGACACAGAGGAACAAATGCTGTAAAGTTCCACTTGTATGAACTACTTAGAATAGGCAAATTCATGGAGATGCAAAGTAGAGGACCAGAGCCTGAGGGTGGGGTAGATAGAATTATTGTCTAATGGGTACAGGATTTTGAGAGGATTGAGAAGCTTTATGAATAGTGATTGATTACACAGCATTGTGACTCTGTCTAATGTCACCAAGTCTTACATTCATAAATGATTAAATATTATGACATACATTTTTTACCTTAAGCACTTAGAAAACAACAGCAGCAGCGAAGAAGGTAAGACTTTCTGAAGGGTAAATGGACTCAGATTCAACTACTCAGAAACTTCTATGCAAGCTCTTCCTTCAAGTCATTTGGTTCATCCGTTTGATAGATGTTGATTGAGAAGTGATGCTATGTCAGACCATGGAGGGACTGGAGGGGGCAACAGAGGGCTGCTCTTTGTGGGATTGGAGAGGCAGCCATGTGCACAACTGATCAGAAACGAAAGCAATCATAGCAGGAGAAAGGAGTGCAGTTTCCAAGGGAATTGGGTTATTTTGTATTTCAATAATAGGCAGTACATTATCACACATTTTTGTGTGTATGTGTGAGTTGTTAGGAGAACCTGGTGAATTTTGTGTTATAATATTATCTATAAATGGTATCTTTTTTTCCTGATGATAGGCTTGCTATGACTCCTGACTTAAAAATCTCTTGAGATGGTAGTAGTTGGGGTATTAGCAGATGGTAGGCAGATGGAAAGACTCTAGTGTTTAATATGATATTATTATTTCCGTTTGATATAGTCATTTCTATGTATTCCAGGCTGGTCTCCAAGTCAGCAGGCCTTGTACTTGTGATCCTCCTGACTAGACCTTATTTTGCTGTGGGTATTTTGGGGATAGGCTCTCACTGTTTTTCCTGAACTAGCTTGGACTTTGATCCTCTTACATACGCTTCTTGCCACCGATGGGATGACAAGTGCATCTCATCATGCTCAGCTTTTTCTGTCGATGGGTAGTCTCATCAATTATTTTGTCTGGGCTAGCTTAGAATCTTGGTCTTCTTGGGCTGGGAAGGTGGCTCAGTGGTAGAGCGCTTGCCTTGCATGCATGAGGCCCTGGGTTCGATTCCTCAGCACCACATAAGCAAAAAGAAAAAATCCAGAAGTGGCGCTGTGGCTCAAGTGGTAGAGTGCTAGCCTTGAGCTGAAGAGCTGAGGGACAGTGCCCAAATCCAGAGTTCAGGCCCCACGACCGGACACCCCCCCAAAAAAATAAATAAAGAATCTTGGTCTTCTTGATCTCTGCCTTGCACACGTCTAGGATGACAGGCATGTGTCATGGTGCCCCGCTATTGGATGAACAGAGCCTCATAAGTTTTTGGTGGGGGAGGTTGGACTGACTTTGAATCATGGTTTTCCTAATCTCTGACTCCCATAATTACGATGACAGGCGTGAGCCACCACCACCTGGGTAAGAGACAGTCTCTTCTTATTTCTCTACATGCTTACAGCATTGGCACTAAGCCTGAATAAAATATAGAAGTTATAGATAAGTACCTTAATTATTTTTAGGGTTCAAGAAAAAGAACCTTAAGGACAATAATGTCCAATGGGAAACTTTGAATATCTTTTCATTATTTCAAAGAGCATTCAACTGTCTTAAAAATGCTTGATTTAAAATTAATCAATATCTTCAATAATGGTCTTTTGATATAAGAAAGCAAGGAGTAGAGGTGTTTTAAAGCTAAAGAAGAAACTCAAATTGCCCATATGTGAATTTCTTCATTTGTTTTCTAGCTTGAAGCTCTTCCGGAAAACACATAGGGGAAAAAAATCACAATGTGATCAATTAGCTACATAGTAATTCCCCATAAGGTCAGAAAAAGGATAAAACTTAAGTTGATTATATTTAAATGCCATGTATCTATTCTGGCACACAATCTCCTATATTGGTACTTTCATACTTTTTGTTTTGCCAGTACTCTGGCTTGAATTCAGGGCCTAGCTCTCTCATTTGTCTTTTTTGTTTAAGGCTGGTTCTACCATTTGAACCACCCTCCACTTCCACCTTTAAAAAAAGATCTTCAATTAATTGAAGATGATTGAAGAGTCTCTCAGGCTGGCTTTAAACCAGGATCCTCAGATCACAGCCTCTTGAGTAGCTAGGATTATAGGCTTGAGACTCCGGGACCTGGTTTCCAGGATATACTCATGGAAAACAGTTTGTTTTTTTTTTCTTCCACTAATGTCCTATTCTGCTTCAGGATTTAATCTGACTCTCCATTCCATGACAATCCCTCAGTCTTTGTCTTTCATGGCCTTGAAATTATTGAAGAGTCCTGGCTAATTCTGTAGAATTTTCATAAACTTGAGTTGTCCAATATTCTCTCACGATTCCAAATGAAGGCATATAATTTTTAGTCAGGCTATCACAGGGATGATGTTGAATTCTTCTGAGTGTGTCAAATCATGTTATTCATTTCTCTTTGAAACACTATTTTGCCTCTTATTGTCACTCAATTTTAATAATTTTAATGATAAACTATGAAGTAGAAATGAAAAATGAGAAAACAATTTCTTAAGGAAGTATGAAAATATATCAAAGAATATTAGCAAAACCAATATGGTAGAAGTAATATTTATTGAAAAAAATTTATGTCTTTCCTATAAAATTTGTAACAGGAATATTTACTGAATGTTTATTTTGATGCAGAAACCTGAATGTCACATACCAAGTACAAGACAGCAACACGAGTTTTCCCTTTATTTACATTTTTATGAAAACTGTTATGCAGTCCATGTTAAAAGAACTTAGGATGGAGAATTGTTACATTAGAAAAATAATATTCTTGGTAAAGCGTTCTCAAGTTGTCCAATCATTGTTTCTGCCTCTTCAATAAGGCAAAAGTCCCTGGAAACAGCATATAACTTAATTTATAAAATACGATAACTTTTTCAGACACATATTCAAGTTTTCTTTTGGTATGATTTTTTCATCACTGCAAAATTATTATTTTTTTGTTTTTATTTTTGTTTTTTAACTAAAACAGAAAGACTGCCAGGAAAATGTCATTTAATGATGTCAGCTATACATTACATTTACAACTCCGTAGCCTAGCAACCACCATGGCTACTCCCTCACTAACTTTAAATATTTTGCTAGGTGAGCTATTCTCAAATGTAGCCTATTTTAAGATTTTTGCCATCGTTATGAGTGGGGGATCACTGGTTTTCGTAGGAAACATCTGTCACAGTATGAAGCTTTTGCTTAGTGTAAGGGATTGGTACAAGGTTACATTTCCCCTCACAAGACCACTGCTGCAGATGTAACTAACGTCAGGCCCCAGGTCCCTCGCTGGTGGGTCCCACCCCTCCTGCTCCCAGGCTCCCAGCCCTGGCTGCCTTCACGCTCTGTTCACTCTCAGACATCTCCTGCCCTTCCACAGCTAGGTGGTTTTAATTCCTTCAAAGGCACACAGTTTCCATCTCTTTTCCAGCGTCGCTCCCACACCGGTGAACTCCTGTTTGAACATGCGAGGTAGCCGCATCAGAAGCATCTCGATTTCGCTGGCTGATATCTATTAGAGAGGAAGGGAAGTTAGTTGTGGGCAAAGAGCATGGGAAAGCAGACATTTTCTATTGTATTTCCTATTTGTTTTCTACTTGGCTGTCAAGTAGACAGCTCTTAGAGGAGGGTAAAGCACTGAGCATGATTATCCTGGACTGTCAGGGATGGACTCAAATGAAGGAATAAACAGTGCTGGGGTTCAGCTCCATGTGGAATGCCATCCTCTGACAAACAAGGACTCCTAACAGAATCCTCACCAATGTAACCTTCATCCTCATCTGCCCAGCGCAGAAATGTTCTCGAAGGGTGAGCAACAGAGAGCATTTGAGTGGATTTCTTGCTGCTCAAACTATTTTTCTTCATTTAATTTTCACAGGAACCAGAGACCATTTATATTTAGGAATGAAAACCCAAACTTTTACCCCCAAAGCTATAAAAGTATTGACACCCAGTCATAAAATCTAGGCAGATGGTTTTAGTATAATTTTTTCCTCTCTTTTTTCCTCAAAAATTTTTAACAGGAGTATTTTTTATAGCAGTCATTCATTTGGCTTTAAATACAGAACAAATGAGCCCTAATTCTCTGTCCTAACCCTGCTCTCATTTTCCTGTGTTTGCCTCCTATTCCTGTGTGTGCCTGGAGATCTCATAGCAAGGTGGTTAATTTGAAGTCTGATATTCTGTTTGAATCCTCTATCTACTATTGTTATAGGCTAAATGAACCTTACAAAGATAATTAGTCTCTTTAAGCCTTAGCAAATGGGAATGGCATTTAATAAGGATGGTGTGAGAGCTACTGGCTCAGCACAGATTTGGGCACATAGAAATAAATGCTCACTGCCTCAAAGCTGTTGTAACTTTTCATGGTAGTGGCATCAAAGAGAGATCCTTTCAGAGTCTACACTTTTTATTTACCCCTACTAAGAGTCACGCAAAAGACACAGCAGGCAAAGACAAATCAACTGCATGGAAGGCATTCTTCATATATTCAATATTCCTGAACCTATGATACAACACTCAGTTAAACAGAGACAGTCCTAGAAGGTGAAATAAATTGTCTGCATTTCCTCACAAAACCTTATGGAAAGGATTGTTAAGATTCCTGAACAGATTGCTGAAAGTTCAGCTCAGAGTGATGTGCCCACAGGAGCTGGGAAAAATACCATCACAACCTGGGCTCAGTCTCAGTCCTGGGAGACAGGTGGGTTGATACTGAGATGCACAGAGAGCTCTTGTTACACAGAGCTGTGGAAAAGAGCCAGCATGTGGATGAGTTTGTGGTGTCTGGGCACTGGTCTGCCTTACATGCTTGGTCAGCAGTGGTGGTGGACAGCCAAGGGTGAAGGATGCTCATCCTAAACATTTGGCACCTGAGGCACTTGTTAAAAGAACTGCTTTCCTAGACACCAGAGGAGATAGCCCATATAATCCATTTTTAACAACCACCCCAGGTAATTCTTATGTTCAGGCATATTTGGGCTAAGAATAGGGGCTTAAATCCGACAGGCTTGGATTTGGCTCTGGGCTAGGCCTCTAGCTGTGTAACTTTGGGCTGATCACTTAAAACTGTAATGCTCAGTTCCCCCCCCCCCCCCTCTCTCTTTCTCTCTGAGTGAGATACAAATCAAAATATTTATCTCTCACTCTTAATTGTGATATATATATGTGTATATATATGTATATATGTATGTATGTATGTATCAGCTAGCACAGTGCCTGGCACAAATATCTCTGTCTCTGTATAAGCTACTGATTGAAAGCAACACTACAATCAAGCCTGTTGTGGTAGTCTGGTGATGCTCTGGAGATAATGTGGTGAAACTCTGTTTAGTTGATTCACAAGGCAGTTTCCTTTTTCTTATTCAGTTAATTTTCACTTGACATATAAAAACATAAAGATTGAAAATGTTCACAGGGTGAGGATCAATGTTTCTTTTTTTATTGTGAAAATACTGTACAGAGGGGTTACAATTGCATGGGCAAGATAATGAGTACATTTCTTATAAGCATTGTAGCCTCCTCCTTTGTTTCCCCTTCCCATCCCTTCCCATCCTCCCCCCGTCCCCCCACCCAATCCTCCCCCCCCTCCAGGATCAATGTTTCTATACATGTGTACCTACTCTAATGTTTAAATCAGGTTAAATGTATCTATCTCCTCCCATATTATTTCTTTACGGTAAAACTTGAAATTATGCACAATGCCATTTTCTTTAGGCTTTATGAGGTGAAGTTACCCTCTGGATGAACTCCTGTCCTTCCACAGCTCATCTACAGTTGAATTCATGTGCTACTCCTGGGTAGCCATGGAGCTGTGGGCAGACCGAGGTAAGCTTGTCCATCATAGGCTGGCTTTCAACTGCCCTCATAAATATCACTAGATTTGGCGGGAAGAAGCCTTGGGCTGTTCTTCAGGAGGGAGAGAAACAGCTGTTTCTCTAGGCCAAAAATATTTAAAGACTACCATCTCTGTGTGTGAGTGGGGTGTGGATGGGGGTCTGGGCAGGCAGGCCCACCCATTCTTCCTATAGCTGGTTGCCAAAGGTCTAACAGGACATAATCATCTAGAAACTTCCTAGTATTAGCATAAAAATTAATTGTACAAGGAGGTTCATTGTATTATCACCATACATGCATGTAAGATATACTTTGATCAAAGTTACCCTCTCTGTTGCTTTCATAATTCTCCTATGTTAACAGTTTTTTTACTATTCTATTTTTATAATAACATAATACACTTGATTAGATTCAGCTCCTATCATCCTCACTTCTACCCTCCGCGAGCTGGTTCCGCATCCTTAGAGTACCCCCTTTTAAAATAATTTAATGTTATTTTTAGGTTGTAGATTCTAGACTTGAGTAACAACACATAAGATTTGACTCTCTGGGATTGGTTTGTCTTGCTTAATGTCATCATCTCCAGTTCCATCTATTTTCCTGAAAATGACATAACTTCATTCCTTTCTATTGGCGAATAATGCTACAGTGTGTATGTGGACATTTTTCTTTATCCATTCACCAGTTTTGGAGCACCTAGGCTGATTATTATGAATACTTTATTATGAATACTGTTGAACTAAGCATGGTTGTGTAGATGTCGCTATTGTATATGTTGGCATACATTTCTTCAGGTATCTGGCTGCCAGTGGCATAGGAGTATCCTAAGGAGTTCTACTTTTAGTTTGTTGAGGAACCTCCACACATTTCAGTAGTGTCTGAACCAAATTACCTACACACCAACTTGCAGTATGAAGAGATTTTCTCCTTCATTCTTGTCAGCATGTGTTATGTTTCTTTGATATGTCAATATCCAGTTTTTCCCAACATCTTTTGTTGAAGAGGGTATATTTTCTGCAAAGTATGTTTTTCCTTCTTTATCAAAAAATCAAGCTGGGTTCTGTAATCCTAGCTACTCAGGAGGCTGAGATCTAAGGGTTGAGTTTCAAAGCTAACCTGGACAAGAAAGTCCATGAGACTTTTATCTCCAGTTAACCACCAAAAAATCTGGAAATGAAGCTGTGGATCAAGTGGTAGAGCATTAGCCTTGAGCAAAAAAAAAAAAAAAAAATCAAGTGGCTATAAGCTGTGACTTATTTCTGGGATGTTTATCTCATTGGCCTACATGTCTGCATTTGTGCCAGTACTATGCTGTTTTTGTTAAGATGGATTTGCAGTATAATTTGAAGCCAGGGGCTATCTTAACTCCAATGTTGCTATATTTGCTCAAGATCACTTGAGTTAATCTGAGTTCTTTATCTCTTTAGTTAAGTTTATCTGTAGATATTTTACTTTATAAGGCCATTTTTTCCAGATTACTTTTTCAGTATATTTACTGTATGTCAGAAAAGCTACTGAATTTTGTTTGATGAGTTTGTATCCTTCTACTTTGTCATAAGTGTCTATCGGATCTATGAATTTTCTTCTTTATGATGGTCTCTTTTTTATTGTGAGAATACTGTACAGAGGAGTTACAATTACATGGGCAAGATAACAAGTACATTTCTTATGAAGCATTGTTGCCTCCTCTTTGTTTACCCTTCCCATCCCTTCCCATACTACCCCCACATCCCCCCACCTGATCCTACCCTCCCTTACCAAAGTTGTAAAGTTTGTTTTTCGACATAAGTATCCCTAGTTAAACTATTTGATTTTGCCTTTCCCCTCCACAAGTTATACCAACATCAAATACAGTGAAAGCAGGGGATATACCGTGGGGAAGGAACATAGAAGCAACATAGAAATCATCTTATAAATATGTTAGAAACAATCACATGAAAGAAAAAAAACCATTTGAATACTTATCTTGGGGTTCATTCCCCTAACAACAACTTATCTGACTTTTTCTGCTTGACATATACTAGTTATTGCAAACAAGGGAAACCATGGGACCTATGTTTCTTTGGGCCTGGCTTACTTCACTTAATATAATTTTTTCCAAGTCTTTACATTTCCTAACAAATGGGGCAATGTCATTCTTTCTGATGGAGGCATAGAATTCCATTGTGTATATATACCACATTTTCTTGATCCATTCATCTACTGAGGGGCATCTGGATTGGTTCCATATCTTAGCTATGGTAAATAAGGCTGCAATAAACGTAGTTGTGCTGGTAGCTTTAGTATGGTCTTGTTTGTGATCATTTGGGTAAATGCTTAAAAGTGAGATTGCTGGATCATAGGGGAGCTCTATGTGGAGTCTTTTGAGGAACCTCCATACTACTTTCCAAAGTGGTTGAACAAGTTTACACTCCCACCAACAATGTAGTAAGGTTCCCTTCTGTCTACATCCCATCCAGCATCTGTTGTTATTAGAGTTCTTGATTATAGCCGTTCTAACTGGGGTGAGGTGGTATCTCAATGTTGTTTTGATTTGCATTTCTTTTCTGGCTAGAGAGGTTGAGCATTTCTTCATGTGTCTAATGGCCATTTTGATGGTGTCTTGAGAGTATAGGATCGTATACTCTTAAGTGTCTAGGGTCATACAGTTTACAGATAGGGAGCATTTGAATTATT